GCATACTGGTGCATACTCACTTTAAGGAAAGTTGAACGAATGAGACTATGCATGAGGTAAATTCTTTCTTGACCTTACATGTTTTCACTTAGACACTTGCGGAACAGTAGAGTACGGTTCAGGATTAGATTGCCCAGAGCTGCCTAGAGAATGTTTGCCCAATTTAGAACGAAAAGTCAAAATGTGCGAAAATATTGCACACGTTTAGACGAAACCTCACATTGCGCGACGATATTGCACATTTAGGACACATCTACTCAATTCGCGACAATATTGCACACGTTTGGACGAAATCTCGCATTACACAGTATTGCACGTTTAGGACCAGACCTCGAAATACGCAAATATTCATATACAGTGGCATATTTTACAGGGGGACAAGGGCCGCCCCATTGCCGCTTCAGGGACAGAGCCTGACGCTCCCTTGGAGGAAATAATTTTTTCCCCTGATATCGCTCGGGTGGGGTTTGGCGTCACCGCTCTGCTGGTCTCCCCCCTACCCTACCCCCGACTCGTGAGCCAAAATAAGCTACTGTGCATTTATTTTTATGAGTATGCAATATAAAGTTTTATAATGAAGGAAACGGAAAGTTCCAGTGGATCATTCTACGAATGGACAGACTCATAAATGGTAAAGCGCATTGTATGGCTGAAGCGAGGGTAAATCAAGAATCCAATATGCATATCAACTTTTCTTAGCCGTCAAATGACCATGGATTATGTGGCTTACCAGGTTGCTTTTTTATATACCCGCTTACAAATAAAACCATCGGACCTGTGCATCCAATCAGCATATATTGGGTTGGAAAGAAAGCCTTGCAACACTCTGCGCAAATTTTTCAAAATTTTCTAACTTCATTGAAATGCATTTTCAGTCTACAATGTAATGACCATTTTTGTCTATGACATGTTCCCAACGCACGGGTAACTGCTCGATGCCCTTTCAATTCTCCTCGTGGAAGCCACTGACGCTTGCGAGTATGGTTGACGTAGAGGACCCAGCTCTCATATCCAGAAACGATTTCCTTCAGAAGGTCCTTTCTGTGCGGACGAAGGAGCAGTGATTCGCAGACACTGACTCGGCTCAGTGTCGCTGAGCTGATGAGGGACACATGTCGAGTAAACCTTCCGATAGCCGAGGAACCCCGGGGGGTCCCCATAGGAAACCCCGTATCCGTACCTATAGGAGCCTCCAGGATCCTATAAGAAACCAAAACGGTGTCCTATAGTAAGACCAGATTCCCACAGGTTTTCTGTAGGCCCCCTTAAGATTCTGTAACAAATCTAAAGGGTCTTCAATAAGAAGGCTACGTCCTCATAGGTTTCCAATAGGAATTCCATACTTCTTATAGGAAACAATTAGGTTCTCATGAGAATCATATACTTACTTATAAGAATACTACGCATCCTTAAATGAATCCTAAATGATTTTCCGTAATAGAGCCCACGGACTGTCCTCGCGTCAAACCAAGGCTTACCTTTTCCTTCAATAAAGCAGGCTCATTTAGCCTATATAGCAGTTTTAAGACATCTCGATAAGTATAAGCAATGTAAGCGCGATTATGGTCTTATTCAGACTTTCACGAAGCATTTCGTAGAGGACGCATATCGTGATAGCGACTATGAGTCTCTCGAGTGTCATGAATTGAATAATGCCGGATCGAAATTCACAAATTCAAAAACCGAGATTCAGTGTCCTCCGTCTTAAGAGTTTGAGTTTCAAATTTCTTGGAGCGATTCTGAGTTTTGAAAGAAGAATGCCCAATTTCGTTACTGGAAAAATTCTCGATGTTATCAGAGAGGAATACCAGGGACCCATTCCACAGATTTACAAGTTGCAAGTTAAGTCTATTACTTGAAGAAGCAAGTTTTTTTTCCACAAAGGAAAATTTTACAAGGAAGAACTACAAGTTCACCCATTTAGAAGCGAATGGAGTTTGGGAAAATGGATTCTGTTCCACAGAGCCAGCTATTTGCAAGTGCAAGCCCATATTTGTAGCTTTAATTTCTACAAGACTTTCATGCTTGGTGAATATCTTTTCCGCACTTATATGCCTTCCGGAGACGTAAGATTTTCCTGCTTTGACCACCGTTTAGGATAATATGAAGTGTCACAGAATCGCTGCTTTGCCATGGGTCATTGCGTGCGTCGATGGCACCCTAATCAAAATTGATGCCCCAAGCCAACATGAAGAAGCATTCGTGGATCGACATTCTTTGATCTTTGGATGATTATTCTTTGAACCGTATGTTACATTGTGGTCCGGAACTTGAGTTTTATGTCAGTGCCAAATAGCCAGGGTGTGTGCACGATGCACGTGTATTGGGCAACAGTTCTCTGGCAAGAAACATGTTGGATGCTGGATGGCGGCCTATCCCTATTTCTGTCATCTTGGTGGATTCTACGTATGCTTTGAAATCTCACCCTTCCACTCAATCGGAACCCTGAAGGCCCAATAGAATAGGAATCCTATCAGCCTCAGAAGTGAACTCGTCAATTCAGTGAATGCGCAATTGACGTTCTCAAAAGAAAAATCTCCTTACCTGAATCATTTACGAGGGAATCCTGAATATGTGGGAGAAATGGTGAAAGCGTGTATGAAATTGCGAAACATAGATCAAGAACCAAAAGAAGCTGCCATTCGGGATGCGATTGGGGACAGTGGAGACAATGAATGATGACAACTCATATACGGAGAATTACCTGCATTAGAAGCAGCCACATTTCCCTAAATGGTAGCATTTATGCCAGTAGTATTCTTGCAGGGAGGGGGATACTCAAAGTCTTTTCCAAACAGAGGACTTCCCAATTGAAGTTTTCCAGCTCTAAATATTAGATTTGGAGCTTCAGTTTCTTTGCTTTCAGATCCTCCTGATCCCCATATGAGAGAATTATATATTGAAAGGATAGCCTTTTCGACTTATTTTCCACAGTTGCTGTCCCAGAAGACTTAGTTGGAAATTGACTTATTTCATTGGAAGCCTTTCCCGGAAAACGAATGCACCGATTTTGCAGGTTTAACATTGACATCTTCCAGCTTCATATTTTCGAACATGAATATCCGTTCGACCTACCCTGTACTCAGAGTTAGTAATATTGGCAGGCTCTAGTGCCTTGTAATTTTCAATTTACAAGTATTGGTACAAACTCTATGAAACGGAAAATACCAATACAGGCACTACGCTTGTAACTTGTAGCTTGTAGCTTGTAAATATTCTGTGGAATAGGCCACTGGAGGCTCAATGTTTGCAACTGAAAAAAATTAGCTTAAAGAGAGTTAATATGCGCTACCGCGCCAATGGAAGTGATACTTATTTATCTTATCTCATTTTCGGAGGGTAGAGACTGTATGGATATCCGACGCGTTTGAAGACTAACAACTTCCAAACACTCATTCTCACTCAGCATCCACTTCTTCACCCCACCAGTGGTTGGGCCTTCCTCCCATTATCTTGTTTATCTTCACTACTTGGGTAATTAATTTTCACTGCTGTAGCAGCTACTCCAGTCCTGTAAATTTCAGACCTCTTCTGATCCATATGCAGAGTCGGCCACATGACCGAAGCCAGCGAATATTGCCCATTCTCTTCATTTATAGGCGTCATGGCAACTCTTCGAATATAGCTAATTTCTACTAGTACTCAAGTTCCAGGTCATAAGGATTTCTGTTCCTAGCCAACCCGGCTAGATATGCTGTAAATATATTTCGCCCAAAGACGCTCTGGCGCAACAGATACTGCAAGGTGGTATATGTTGAAATTGGATAAGATATAGGGAAGCAGACAAGAGTCAGGAGAGAACGTTTTTGCTTCACAATCCTGGTTAGGAAATGTGTGACAGTCTGAATCCTAAATTTCCTTGGAAGTATAATCACACAGAGAAATAGGTGCTCATAATACAAGTATACATTCTGAACAATTACGAGGTAGTTCAAGAATGCCGCTGTTCATGAGAATAAAGCAACCAAAGACTGCATGCAAATGGGGATAGGGATAATAGGGGATAGCTAGTGAATGGTCATGTCCTACGTGACGTATTCTTTCACTTGGACTTTTCAAGTTAAACATGAGAAATTTGTTATTCTGAATTTTCAGCGAGGTCAATGAAACGTCATTGAATTTTTGGATTATATTTTTACCGGAGTAACATATAGTTTTGTCGACGACGTTATTGGAAAACCCAATAGAAAATTCCAAGTTGATTTCATCTAATCTCTAGCTACCCATGTTTGCCCCCGTAAAGCGTCATTTTCCCATGGTGACAACGTTTCAATGTTCTATCATCTTTGAAAAAGAAACCACTCAGGGCAGAATATGGGATATACGAAGTATTACTTATTTGCAAATATTGTCTGCCTTCCAATAATTTTTCCCTTATATTCTCCTTGCAGATTGAAGTAAATTTGGGAGGCGGAAGAAGGAAAGAGGCTCCTGGAGTCAATTTGAAAAAGAACAATAAGGAGGCTATGAAAAAGTTTCTCGAAAGTGACTCAACATCGGATGACGAAGATGAGGAAGACAAAAAGAGAGAGGAAGCTAGAATAAGGCAACGGGAAAAGGAGAGAAGGAGGAAGGCTGCAGAACGGGAGCAGAAAGAAAAAGAGCAGCAAGAAAGGGAAAAGCAACACCTCAAAGGACTTCTCTTTGATGTCGTTGGAGGAACAGAAGATTTGAAATTGCATATCGATAACCTGCCGCATACTCTCAAAACCTTTAAAGAAGAAATTCGGAAGATTATCGACGAGGACGAAGGCTTCCTCTTTTCAGACAACATTATATCGTTGAAAATCCAGTTAGCGATATGCATGGACCACCAGACTCCCGAAGGATGTAATAAGAAATCATGTCAATCTTTGCATATTTGCACGAAATACCTTCTCGGCCTTTGCATTGATGCAAAGTGCCATGCAGGGCATGAAATCAAGACAAGTCACAACCGCCGTCTACTTACTAAACATAACTTGCACAAAGTCGATCTCAAGTTTTTAAAGAAGTTGGTAATGCCAGACACCGTGATTCCAGAACCATGTGAGGAATACCACATCTCAGAATACTGCAGTCGAAAGGACGAATGCTTCAAGATGCACCTTTGTGCGGATTTCATCGTGGGAGCTTGCCAGGGGTGCAAGCTAAACCACGACATCTTGGATTCACAGTGTGAGAAACTGCTTAAAAAGGCCAAGGTTGATTTGAGACGAACAAGAAGAGACTTGTGTAACTTTCTGAAGGTGAAATGGGCTGTAAACCTGGACGAGATCAAGAAATGGAAGGCAGAGAGGAAAGAAGAAACGAAGACTTGCTATGCCATGTTTCCCCCCGTCCAATCTATCACGAAACTGCGTTATGCCCATGTGAGTTTAAAATTTCTTCATCTTTCCACTTGCTTTCACTAAGACCTGTCACAAAATACTAGTACTGCATGAAGGGTATCAGTTGGGCTCGTTTTCTTTTTCTAATTCAAAGTTTGTTGCATCCACGAGATAAATTGTTTGTGAAAATATATTTGTGGGAAGTATGGACGTATGCCATAAAGAAACCTCAGCCACATTAACATAAAGGCGAATACATCCGACCTGAAGTTGAGAATAAGAACTCGCTGCATATTTACTGTACAGTAGGTAATGAAAATCTTCAAGCTATCTTTACTTCATTTTCAATTGAATGGTCTCAGTGATGGATAATAAAAATGAATCAATATATTGGGTTGTTAAGAAAGTCTTTGGAGTTTCTTTCAAATTTTGGCCATGCCCTTGAGTTTGAAAAATAAAAATAAAAAAGTTTGAAAATTAAGCATCTATATAAAGGGCTCACTAATGCACCCTCACATAGTTTTCACTCCATCTTTGGTGAGCTCTGGATAGAGAAAATGGAAGAAAAGCGCGTGCACATCCGACACTGCCTGCTTTTCGACTTCGACCTGGGCATCTCTGCTACTCAGGCGCCCCGTCATCTGTGTCAGACGGAAGGCCGTGACGCCCCCTCCTTCAACACCTGCCACTACTGGTACAGTCGCTTCCGCTCCGGCGACAGGAGCCTCGAAGACCGACCCAGGTCAGGACGTCCCACCTAGGTGGACTTGGACGCTCTGCGCAGCCTGGTGGAGGCTGACCAGAGAGCAACCACGTGCCGTCTGGCCGCCACTATCCACTGCTCCAACACTGCCATCAACAATCATCTCAATTCTATCGGCAAGGTTCTCAAGATGGGAAATTGGGTGCCCCACACTTTGACCCAGTGGGACCTTGATGCCCTGTCTGAACCCTGCACCCATCTCATCTCGCGGAGCCACAGCTTCGACTGGCTTGACCACGTTGTGACTGGGGATGAGAAGTGGTGTCTCTACATCACTCATACCCGGAAGCGCCAGTGGCTCGACACTGCCGAAGAGGCACAGCCAGAGCCGAAACCTGACCTGCACCCCCGGAAAGTTATGTTGAGTATGTGGTGGGACGTCCTCGGCATCGTGCACTGGGAACTGCTGCCGCCCAACACCACTATCACTGCCGACTACTACAGCTCCCAGATGCAGCATTTGAAGCTGAAACTCGAAACGATGCGATCGCAGCACAAAAAAATCTACTTCCTTCACGACAACGCCCAACCCAACACTACGAAGTTGACCCATCTCAAGCTCCTTGAGCTCGGGTGGGAAGTCCTGCCCCACCCACCGTACTCCCCCGACTTAGCCCCCTCAGACTATCATCTCTTCTGCTCCCTCCAGAACCACCTGCAAGGGAAGCACTTTGATACCCAGAACGTGCTCGAAACTGACCTGAAGCACTTCTTCAGGGCCAACCCCCGGCGTTCCACAGGGAGGACATCCACTCCCCGCCCGAAAGGTGGAGGAAGGTTGTGGGCAACGATGGTGCTTACATTGTGGATTGATCTTCTTTTTATGATGAATAAAGGGAGATTGAACAAAAATGAAGAAAAACTAAAGACTTTCTTAACAACCCAATAATTGTACAAATTCAATCCCCTCCAACTGAAGATCAGGAACATATGGTAATCAACGTTCGAACAAACTTTTGAGTCTTGAAAGTGTATTTTTATCGCGATCGCGAAGTCGGCAATATCAGCCAAGAAACAAAAAAATAGTTTTTCATGATAGCAAAATCGCCAGCTTAATCTTCTTGGTCGAAGACGTCTAGTACATGACGTCATATTAGAACGCGAGTATGATTGAAGCTTGCTTAATTACGTAAAACCGCTGAGATTCTGGCTGTGTAGTATTGATTTAATATTTTTCAGTAGACCTTGCACGACTAGCGCTCTAACTAGTACTATTAAGTTTTTGCGCCCAGACATTTAACCCAATTTAAACAATACGACACTAATTGAAATTCCATCCCAATTGCGCGAAATGGCCTGTGCCTAAGCCGACGAAGGACTTGTCAAATATGTATGAAGGAGAAAGAAATCAGTTTCTGATTTTAAAAAGACTTTAACCGTATCTCATTCAATAGCCTGCTCGTTGATGGACCTCGCAGCAAGTCAACTTTATGTGGAAATGTATGAAAAGGATGAGAAGTTAAGGCGCGAGAGGGAAAAGAAAATAATTTGTTGCTGCTGCTCTCAGGAAATTCTCTTAGGTCATTCAAATTTGACCAGAGCGCCAGCTCGGCCATCTCCGAATTGGAGGAAAATCGGCATGCACGTTGAGGAATCGATTTAAGGAAACTAAATTCCACCAATTGTTTATCTATTGCACAGATCACCAGATATGTATTTTAATGTGATCTATTTTTGGCTATGGGCGCCCATACATACTGGATTTGAGGCTGTTTCTGCGATAACTCTAGTTAAGATACAAGCTTTATTCTAGTGTCATTTTAATTGCGATATTGCCGTCCTTAACTTGTTTCTAGACACCATTCTCCTTGGATTAAACAAAATGTTTCACTTGGCCAAACAATTTGGTGGTACAGTGGCCAATATCTACACTTGCCACTTCGGGAATCCCTTGTTCCAATAATTATTTCAAAAGTTCATGGTATGCCATTTCTAACGACACCAAATATGAAATTGGCACTCAAGCGCTTGATGAGATATGATTGTTTGCAGGGTTAGTGTGGAAATTCCTTTTGATCGAACAAATAGACCGATTTCAGCGACCGGCATTTGCTCTCCGCCACCAATGAATCCAAAGTTATAATACTTCATTGAAAAGAAAAATTCATGCCCTCTCTAACAATACAAATTCAAGATTGGCATTCGAATCCTAGATAGTGCATGATTATTTGTCCCAGTAGTGCCAAAATTGTAATTGATCGAATAGTTTCACCGAATTCAGCGACATCCATCTGTACTAGCCACTCCAGACATTGGAAGTTGCAATACTCCATAAGAAAAGATAAGTTTTCCCCTAACTAACATCAAATTCAAGAGGGGATCTCAATTGCTACATAAGATATGACCATTTGTCTGCAATAACTGCCAAAAATGCTGGCTATGGGAATGCAATCCTATAGTATGCCGTCCTGAAAGTGATAATTTTGCTGCTTTTTTCCATTTTAAATATTTTCATCATTTTTCTGGCATGGAAAATTGACAAATATCTTTAGTGGTCAATTTCTTCTGAAGGAAAATTTGGAATCCGGCGGTAACAAAGGGTGGAACATGTTCGAGGACTTCATCAAAACAGAGAATATACCAAAGTACATATTTTCATCTTATGAGGGAGATGATGAGGAGGAAGAGGAAGAGGAAGGGGAGGAGCAAGAGGAAAAGGAAACCTTCAATGTTGCTATTGAGGTACGTGAGAATAATAACTTCGGAAAAGCAGAAATATGTCAGTGCATAAATACAAACCCCTGTGAGGACGCCATCGTGGGAACCTGCTCAGATAACCTTTGAGGGGACTGTAGCCAATGCCGTTAGTCTTCGGACAACTTTAAAAGGTGTCTGGGTGACATCGTCTCTTCCCTATAAACAGATTGCCTCGAAAGGTAATGTAACGGGGCAATGAGGGTGGTTTTTGGATTGATAACTTCTCTATCATCTTACCGTGTTTTCTTACCTTAAAAATGTAAGGTAAAAGGTAAAAAGGTAAAAAGCTGTGACAATCGTCTCTCCTTTGCGTCGTAGCGAAGGACCTTTTACTAAGTCACACAGATTCATTTGAAAGGTAGAACAGCAAGGTAAGGTGATGATGAAGTTACCAGTCCAAAAAAAACACCCTCATTGCTTTGTTATATCACCTTCCGTGGCTGTTTGTGTTAAGAAGAGACGAAGGTAAGAATGATACCTTTCGAAAACAAGGTAACGAGTTAAATTGATGGTTAACGCATTCAGGACAGGGTACCTGACACTTGTAAAACTGCTGGTGACAAGCAATTTTTTTATTCTTTAATTTGCATCATTTAGTAAGAAATTTCATAACTTACAAAATACTGCACTTACGAGGTCTAATCAAGAAGTTCTAAGACTTAATTTTTTATGACTCTGTGGTGTGGTGGCTCTTTCCGATTGCTGATGGTTATATCCTTTAAACTAGTCCTCTTCGGCATCTACACAAATTTTCTGGCGTTTCTTCAGCCACTGGAAGCATTGCTGGCACTCATTTTTGGAGTTTTGAATGCCTAAAATCTCCTTCATTTTAGCACATGCTTTAGTTTAGGGAACAAAAATAAATTACTAGGAGCTAAACCCCGAAGAGTTGGATGGCTGAGGAAGCACGGGATTGCAGGGTAGGTCAGAAACTACTGAAATTGCAAAATAAAGGAAATCTCAGAACATTTAAAACAGCATTACGAACGCGCCGCGAGCGCTGTTGGTGACTCCAAAAAATGAGTGCCAGCAATGCTTCCAGTGGCTGAAGAAACGCCGGAAAATTTGTGCAGATGCCAAAGAGGACGAGTTTAAAAGATATAACCATCACCAGTATGAAAGAGTCACCACTGCGTCATAAAAAATTAAGTCTTAGAACTTTTTGATCAAACCTCGTACATATGTTTCAAGCATCAAAATGCTCAGGAATGTTTACAGAAGCCATTTAGATTTACTGGACCGGGAAGACGTGAAAGTTATCCCTCAATGTAAATCTCCATTGACAGTCATCAATGTGTTAAGTTATTAGTCCAAAAATCACCACCATTACCTGGCTACATTACCATCCAAGGCAGTCCGTGTGCGAGGGGGAAATATCGCAATTTGCTAGAAAGTCCACATTAGACCGTAAGGTTACATGAAATTGTAAGAATTCTTCAACGACACATGTGGAACATTAACTTTGCATCAGCATGTGCATACATTATCATGCATTCCACATGAATTTATTGTGAAACTCAAGTGATATCTGTAACCCACATGTATATACAGTATATATATATAGACGGTCGTAAGTGACTGAGTGAGTGACTAACGCTAATTTTAACCAGGTTCTAGAGAAGCTAGAAATCTGGAACTTCGTACACATGTACCTTTTGGGATGCAGAGTTAAAAAAGTGGGACTTTAGAGGTACATGCCCTGGGAGCATCCATTTTTGGGGGAAGTGTTTCCAAATGTATATATTTGCTTCAGTCAAATGGAGAGACATGAAAAGCTGAAAGTTGGCATGGACGTGCCTACTGAGACACTCAGCTCATAAAAAATCTCAATTTTCAGATGTATGCCATGGGGGCATATTTCTGGGGGGTGACGTTAAAAATTTGTTATTCTCTCCTACCGAATTGGGCAGAAATAGAAAGGTGAAAATATGATGAATGAGTACCTATTGAGAACCTGAATTCAGAAATATTCAGACTTTGGAGGAAAATGCCATGGGCAAACAATTTTAGAGAGATATTTTCAATAATTTTTTTTTTTTGCTGCAGTAGAACGAATAAACATGGAAAGCTAAAACTTTACGTGGACGTGCCTACTGAAACTCTAAGTCAAGGAAAAATGCTAAGTTTCAGGTGCATGCCCTGGGGGCATATTTCTGGGGGTAATATTTCCAAAAAAATACTTTTTTGTCCTACCGCATTAGGAAGAAATAGAAAACTGAAGCTTGCCATGCTAATAACTGAGGAAATGTTGAGTTGAGAAACGATAAGAGTTTGTGGTGCATGCCTTAAAGACACAGCTATTGGCTACATTGGATTTTTGAAAGAATATTTTGCACCAGCAAAAACAGCAAACGGATAAGGCTCAACATTGGCAAGCACGTAGTTCTCCCAGTTCTGATTTAGTAAAAACGTTAATTCTTAGGGAAAACCCTTCGGCTAATTTTTTGCAAAAGACACATTTTCCAGAATCCTTTCTGATCCAATGAATAATAGATCTAAAGAAACTTGAAACTTCGAATAATCGGAGCAACTATTTCGATGAAAATATCAGTTCGTTCTCCCTTGGCACCCGTTTTAACAGGCACAAACTTGTAAGACTTTTTAGCCACTTTGAAAATAAGATGAAGCATTAATCACTAACTTGGACGATGGAGCGCAGGTATATGCCTTCAGGGCGTATTAATGCATGGTGACGCTTTAAAGTAATTTATTTCACTTCAGCCAAGGAAAGACGTAGAAAGTTGAAAATTTACGTGAAAGTGCCGATTGATGTGCTGATTTCCAGGAAAAATTAAATGTTAAGATGTATTTCCTGGGGGCACATTTTTCCATGGAAACGTTTTACTTGTTTTCTTTCTTTCAGCGAAAGGGAAATACATGAATAGCTGAAAATGAGTATGAACGCGGTTAGCGATATGCCAAATTAAAGAAAATTTTCACTTTGGAGATGTATCCCCTGGGGGGCACTATCTTTGTTGGGGACGTTTACAAAAAAAAATTTGATTTAGGGAAGCGGATTTTTACATCGGACTGGGATGAACAAATTCAAAGAAAATCTTCATTTTGGCTACGCATTCCCAGGGCATATATTTTGGTTGGAAAAAGTTCTCTGAATTTTTTGCCACCATACTACAGGTTATATGTTTAGGGGTAGAATAACTAATCTCAGACGCACAATTTCGCTTAGAGAAAGCTGGTTCGTATAGTATTGCTATAGATGGCGCTGTATTGAGGATGAACTCTAAAGTGACCGTTCTGGGGCTATGAAGAATCTCTGATTCATGTTCCTAACATCAGATTGAAAATCACTTCACACAAGCAGGAGTAGCTTAAACTCACGATTAAAAATCCCAGTGGTCAAATGAGTTTTACCCAATTGGTAGTTATGAGAATCGAAAAGCGATGCTTCAAATGTATTTTAAACCGGAGGACCTCGGTTGCTTCGCAATCGAGGTCTAGAGGTTAAACATATAGCGTGCGCGATTCTGGCCGCTTAGCTAGGCCGAGCGACAATTGATTCTTTTTTTGTTTGCTTATGTGTGTGTGTGTGTGAGACAGCTTTACAGGACAAACACTTATAGATATGAACTTGGGGTTTCGATAGAACTCTTCCTTATCATCCGAGGATGTGCCTTTTCAACATTATATTTCCAAATCGGCCACCGGAAAGGGAGGGGATATAACTTTCACAGAAAATTGGAGATTAGTTCTCGTTTCGCCATCTCTCGAAAGAACGAGGAAACGAGAGTTGCCGGTATAATCGCAAGAGAACAGTAGCATCGCTCACCGTGATGCCTCCCCCCTTCTGCCGGATATCCTGGGATTTTTAGCGTCTATGATGAAATAGGGGGCTATCATTTTCTTCAATTCCATTCGCATTTGCCTCCTTCGCTCCATTCACCGATTGGGTGCCGAAGATAATCACGGGTCAATGATGGCAAGCTTCATATAGATACATACTACAGGTAGTAGGTAGCCCGTGTAAAAGCACGGAAGCACATGGGAAAATGGGTCTAATACTTCAGTTTAGGCTAATGGCAGAAAAGAGCGATTGAGAATAGTTCAGGAAAATGCCACGATTCAGTACGAAGAGATTCATAGTGTTTAAAGCATGCCTGCGGTGCGCATTGGCGGAGTGTAAAAGTAGGTACCGCGGGATCATTGGAGTAGCCCCACCGAATACGGAAGCATGCCCTGCCAAAACCCGCCAACACCTCTATCATGCATCTCGTGGTCGCCCTTGGTTTTCTTTAGCCTATGTTTGCCTTTGAATATTCATTTCGTCAAATGAACTGAAGTTCGTTTCACTTCATGCCTCACGTCGGGTGTAAAATAGGTCGACAGTGATGATGCAAGGGCGGCGTAACGTTATCACCTTCGTAGGCCCAGCAATCTCAGCAAAGGCAGGCCTGGAACTTCAGGCCCACTCGAGAAATTGGAGACAGAGAAACGGGATGGTTACGACGCCGCCGACGTCGTCTTTCCGATCCAAGAGTAAGCGGTCCTGTGCCATACAGGTGGGATCCCGCCATTTTCACCCTCGGGAGTAGTTCTCCTTTTGAGGAATAAGAGAATGAGGTTTAGATTGATGAAAGTGGTCGGAATCCCAATAAATATACGGGCGGTGATATCATACCGGGGAGGAAGTCATCCTTCCTCCAGATATGAAAAAGGACTCCGAGTGTAATAAGCGGGGACGTTTTACGCGTCCCTGCGGAAAAATTCATATCGAACCCTTCAAATGGGTTCGATATGAACTTTTCCCTCACGCAAAGGACTCTATGTGGAGAGCACACGCGATCGCGCTGAGCGCAAGCGTTTGTTGTGTGTGCGCGCGCATGCCACGAACCGGGGTAGTCTCTCAAGATCATGGTGACTCCTTCCACAACAAAACATTTCGTTTCCTCCAGTTGCAGCAGGTTTACCTGCCACTAGTATCATTAATCTTTTATGAAGCGAACCGCGACGAAGGCGCGTTCATAGCGCGTTTGTTTGCCTGAAGGGCAAACCAATTCGCTAGTATTATATGTACATACGAGGTATATGTTCATCTGCACATATGATTTGTACATGTACAACTCACATGAGAAAAGGTTAACTTTAGCCTAACGACATTTGCATGATTTTGCATGAATATGATCTTTAAATATTTTGTAAGTCCCTTTAAGCAGTTTCTTCTTTCAGCTCTCACTAAATGATGTAACATTATAATATCCAAATGATTTCATGAATATAAGGAGCATGTAATTCCCGTTAGGAGTTGTCTAGATAATATATCCTGCATGGCATTGTAGAAAAGGCAAAATTGCCTTCCTGTTTCAACATTACACCCAAAAACCTTCTTTTTTCATTGTCTTACTTCTTATATGAGCAGTACCCTCTCATATAATTACCAGGCCATACTATGTTCTTGGCAATTTCTACAAAAATTGCTTGATGGAATTCACAATGGAAACACGATGAGTTTCTCCTCATTAGTATGTCTGAGAATCGGGTGTTTCAAAAGAATGATTCATTTTCCTTCATCATGGAGCAACGAAGGCGCGGCCAGTGCGGATATCTCGGTTAGGTCAAAGGTGGATTTGCCGAATATGAAATATGGAGAATAAATAGGTCTCTGACCTTAAAAAAGTTTAAGCGTATCTCATTCAATACCCTGCTCGTTAATGGGATGACACCTCGCAGGAAGTCCCCTTTATGTCGAAATGTGTGGAAATGGTGAGAACAGGTGAAGGCTTGAGAAAAAAATGAACGGGGGGTTTTCCTCTCAGGAAATGTTATAGGAAATTTCTTTAGTTGGTATTTTATTCTGAAGGAAAACTTCGAATCCGGCGGTAGCAGAGAGAGGTACATGTGGGAGGACTTGATCCCAACAGAAAATATACCAAAGGACATTCCTTCATCTTATGAGGGAGATGATGAAGAGGAAGAGGAAGAGGAAGGGGAGGAGCAAGAGGGAAAGGAAACCTTCAGTGTTGCTATTGAGGTACGTGAAAATAATAACTTCGGAAAAGAAAAAAGGCGTCCAAGTGCCTGAATACAAACCTCTGTGCAGACGCCATTATGGGAGCTTCATCAGACAACCATTGTAGGTGCTATAACCAGACAAAGACGGTGTACTTCAGACTAGTAGCTTCACCTTCACCTTGGCTTTTTATCTCAACCTTCAAAAGTTCCCTGTGTGACTTCGCCTCCTCTCTATAGATAAGAGACGAATGTGAGAATGTTACCTTTTGAAGGCAAGATAACGAGGTAAGTTGACAGTTGAGTTACAAAACCAAAAACGCATACTAGTTGTTGCCTGGTTATATTACCTTTGATGGCTGCTTCTGTGAGGTAGAATATTGCAATTTGATAGGAAGTCTGCATAAGATCTTAAAGTTTCATGAAATTGCATGCATTCTTCCAAAAACACATTTTGAAAATCAACTTGGCATCAGCACCTATATATACAGTGTGGCCCATGAGTCACTATTTGAAAAGCAAACATACAAGGAATCAAAGGATTCTTTTTCCTGGAATATGAATATGGCTTCGAAACACGAACACATCTAAGTGGGGCTTAACATTCTAATAGAATAAAATACAATGAGAAGGGAAAAAGCGAAAGCAAAAACTAAAAGAGTAACCAGGAAATGTTCGATCAAAATACACAAAGGGAGGTGAGCTTTACCTGACTGGATCATCTGGATTATCATCAGAATCATAAATTTATTGAGATCTTTGTATGGTTCTGTTTTTGATGCTGTTCCTTTTGCGACCCTTCTCATTTTTCTTTCGTCAAGCTATGGATTTGCAACGTTAAACCGAACATGCGCTCAGGTCTATGTCTTACGACATAATCAATCCAAACTAGTGGAATATTATTGTCCTACCATTAACATATTCATAGAGGTACTCTTGCACTAAATTGTACATGAACACGTAGTTCTATGGAACGATTTTCCTGGAGATACCCTACAACTGAAACACGATTGTTTCATATCCAATATCTGAGCGCGCTCAGATTTTGCACTCGTACTCCTTCTCACGATCATAGGAAATCAGAACCACGGCATCTTCGATACAACAGGGAAACTACAGCAAGATAATTCAATCGCCTGAGAGGACGTCGAACAAGCAGTCGACACTTTTAACCTAAGCGTTCAAGTGAAGTTGCACATTCCCGAAGCGTTCGTGTCAAGTAGTTTTCCCCTATTGGAAACCTCCCATACCTCTTCGTCGTCTCAGAACATCCATTGCATGTCATTAAAATTCCGTCTTCTTTTCAGCGCACACACAGTTGCTCGCATGTTTCCATATTTTTATGTTTATTCGTCGTACCAAGTGTCCTCATTTTCCTCGCATTTTTCTTCACGGTTGGCACAATCCAGTGTCCAGAAAACATTTGCTCTGATAATAATTTCTCCCTTACGTTCCGGGTGAATGACGGCACCAGCATATTCTGATTGTTCCAGGACTATGATGCCTTTCCGGTTGGTTTCAATAGCCCGGTTACCACTTCTGAAGAAGAGCCAGAAAAAGTGGGCTTCGCGTTCCTCGGAGAAGGCTATAATGGTGCACGTCCGTCACTTCTCGTCCAGTTCCGGGGGTAAATGCATGTTTTAATATTTCTTTCGTTACTTGCTTTTCTCTTACAGAAGGACGCCCATCCAACTTGAGAGCTATAGTCGACATATTACACCAGCATCAAGAAGGTAAAAGAGCCCTTAAAGTAATGAAGAGCCGACGAGGAGATCGAGATGGGGCGAAAGACGAAGAGATTCCTGGGGGAGAGTATGGGGAGGATCGACAGAGAATCCTGAGAGAAGCGGTCGGCAGATTTCGGCAAGGAATCGGGGGTCAGCATCCCGGTAAGAAACTGTCCTTTACATGTTCTTCGTCATCTCTCAGCCTCATATGTCCCTGGATGTATGAGGATCGTTCATGCGGAGGCTGTGACAGAGACAGAATGGTGTTCCTCTTTTCCTCCCGAATTTTATTTATTTAAAGCGACTCAGACTTTCCGAAGATTTTAGGTTTTTCTGCATTTTCCGTTGTTTTCTCCAATTGTTTTTTGACTGGGACGATCAACAAAAGCTACCCAAGCAGCATGTTCACGTAAACAAGATGTCAAATTTTTGCAAACAATGTAAATTTCTTGCGATTGCCATGAAAATTACATCACGTTTACGTAAAATTTACGTTCCTATATTTACGTCACCAAAGTGTACGTGTATTTTACATCAACTAGACGTCTCTCCATCTGACGTGAAGTATATGATATCAAGTTTATGCGATATTAACACCATACCATCCATATGGAACTTTAGCTGACCATCCTGCAGTTGCAGTACCAAGATTCCTCACTAGATGGAACCCTCATTCCCTTCATCCTACAATTACTATTAAGTACTGGCTTTCCTGATATAGTATCAGGTTTTCCTACCATCCATCCACTTTTTATTATGCAATCCATGAATATATATATGGAAAACATGAAATGATTATATAT